TTTGAGACGCATATGGCCGAGTAGGCTCGAATTGTGACTGGATGCCTGTGGACAATGTGGACATTTAAGGCGGGTGCGACGGATGTATGTTGGTGCTCCTGGCACTGGCCCGCTAGTCTCAGTGCGATAGATACGCAAATGACCGACCAGGCTGGTGCCTGACGTAAATGTGCGGCCACAGTACGGACAGGATGCATTTGTGGCCGCTGAGTTGGTGTTAGTGACGACGCTGTTATTGATGTTGATGCCGGTGTTTTTGGTGGTCATGGAGTTAGTAATGCTGGTGGATTAGGCGGGTTTGTCGTGTTTACATTTTGATGAGTTCCGCTGCTGTGTGCGCGCACGTGGCCAAGAAGTCTCACGTGGTGTCGGAACGCCCTGGGGCGTTGTGGGCAGGCGGGATGCGCGCGGTTATGTAACAGTTTTATTGCCTCATGTTTGTCGACTAGAATTTTCAGTCGTATAGACCAACATGACCAAGGGGTAAACCGGCCGCCGCTCCACCTTGCCTCTTTACATTACCGTTTAAAAACATCCTTTCTAGAATTCTCATTTATAGTTGTGGCTTTATACTTCCGCACAGCTAGGTTTTTCTCGTAATTCGATGGCACCGTTGTCGCTTCGGGTATTAAGTGGTTATTATTGGTTCTAAAACACTTCACCTTATACTTGTAGATAGTGAGCCTTAGAGACATGCCATACAATACTCTCTTACCTTTATTTGTGTCCATCAGTTTCATTTTCAATCCAAAGTGCTTCACAGGCTCTACCGTCAGTCTAACTTACAGCCTGGAAGCTCGGCGTACAACTGTCTGCCGAGTTCCTTTAACCTTTATTCAAGGCATTCACTTTTGCATCCTTGAGCGTAATCATTTATTATCACTGCCCATGTTCGCAAATGTCTCTCCAAACACTCCTTTGGCCCAGTTTTTCATGTAAGGCACTTTATCTTTCCTAACACTTTGGAAGGTTGTGCGTCGGGTGCACTGAAGGGTTAAACCGTGGTTCTTCCGAGCTACTAATGCCGGTTGTCTATAAAATACACTCGCATTTCGATTTTATGGTTTTTATCGTTCTGCAGGTGTTTTGACATCTAACAGCCTGTCCTTGAATCAAATCGCGGACTCGTAATAAATGTGGAATCGACCCATCGAAGTTTATGTATCTTCTGATGAGTCGTAAGCGCAAGTCCAAATTTTCAACGAACAACACTTAGGGTTGTGTTGTCCTGCGAAATCTTTAAAGTTTTAAAGAAGCCGAGAATTTCTCCGAGCGCTATAACACGATGGTCTTCTGCAGACGATAGCGTTTCTTTTGATCAGGTATGCTGTTTTCTCTTATAATTCTATTCTTACCGACGCACCATAGTCTGGCGCTTACACATTAGTCTACAAGTCCAACGACAAGAGACACTTTCGTAAGTACCGGCCGGCAAAGTAGGCGAATTAGTAATTTAGAAGTTGCCAAGGCGGAGGATTTTGCGGAGATTAGTCAATGTATGAAGGAGATCAGAGACAGTGTTCTACCTGCCCTAAAACGCATCCATCTAACCGCTAGAGACGCTTTTCTTCTGACTACCTTCTCGAATCGAGCGGATATGGAGTTTAGCAAAAGTCAAAGTAACTTTCTGAAATTTCCTCTTGATAATCTCTGCATAGTTTCGACAGGCATGCAATCCCCAATTTTTTTTCGTTACTTCAATTTCCCTCCCGAGGAGCGCCTAATCAGCCGTAAGTTCTGCGCCATTGTTATTAAGCAAATCTGTCTGTTTGCTTTAGAGTGCTCCTGTGCGTACATCCAAGGCAAACTACCGATTCGCGGGACCCTATTTATCAGTATCAACTTTTTGTCCTTCTTGCCGGCCGTTTACAACAACGAGGCTCAGTTGTCGCTCCCATGGATAAAGATTATCGTAACTTTGTCATGCTTTCTTCTTACGATCACTTTTTTGCAGTCTGTTGAGAGGAAGCTCACGGCCGCACTCGGCGGATATGTTTTGCTGCGGATGCTTGACCAAAAAGTATGTCAGAGATTTTCTCTCCCCTTTGTTTCTTTTCTACAAGAAACCTTTTCTGTCAAGACCTTTTGAAAATAGACTAAATCGCTCTAGTTTTCCAAACTTAACCAGTGATGACCTCGCAAACAACTTGGCTACTAGGAAGATGTTCCTAGGTATGATGAAAACTAAAAGCGATCATTTTGTACATAAAATCCAGTTCATTGTACATTTTACATTGCACTCTCCCTCACAGTATCGATTCACGATCTCTAACCATGTGGAGGAAACTACTTCTATCATTCAGAAACTTGCTGACCTGGGTGTTCGAAGGTAAGCTCCAAAAGCATGATCTGATCTAACCTAATCCAACCTAAAATCTGATCTTTGAATTTCGTTCCGCATGCATGACTCATAAGGTCCTCTAGCTTCCCGATATTTATAGTTCGCAAAACATACAACTTCTTTTACTATCGACTCCACTCCTAGGTAATTACGAGGATAATCATTTTGTACGGCTCTAGAGACATATTATAAGGTTTGCAAAAACCTGGTGAGCAACGCGGGCGCAGGCAACGATATGTTCTTTACTTCGTCCGTCTGGCATCAACTACGATCAGGCTATTCAAAACTGTCCACTTCTTCAAACTGAAAGCTATTAGTCCGGGGTGAAGTCTTCTCTTGGTCAGCGAGGAAGCTCGATGCATACACCGACCGATTTGTCTGCAACCTTCGCCATACATAAATCAGCATACTTTAGTGCTGACGGGGCAGTATCATTGGCGTGATCGATATTAGTCCGTCGTCGTCTTGGCGCAGACTCGGCGCAGTTGGAACAGCACACAACCCTTGGCAGGATTCGATAAGCGACTTAGTTGAACTGCATGAAAGACAAAATGCAAACGTTCCCAGTGCCAGTTCGAATTTTTAACGGTTTGGAAAGTACAA